TTAATCATTTTATTTTATCTCATACATATTCATTCACAAGCTACAAAATATTTTCCAGGACAACAAAAAATTTCACTCTATAACTCACTGTTCCCATTCAAATAATTATTTCTAAGATAATTTGTAACCCAAATTTAATTTTCTCCCATCTAATCAACAAATCTTTGATTAAAACTTGACTAATTGGCAATTCAAAACAATAAAATAAATAGATAAGAAAAGAAAGAAATAACAGTAGAAGCCCGTAGCTAAATCGCATGTGAACCAACTACATGAAAAGTGCTGGTAAATTTCATGACATATTGATGAAAGGTGTTTAGAAAATGGGGAGCTGATGGGTCCTATTTGCATTACCATTTGTTGCAGTCAACTTCAATTTTTCTTTTCAAACCTCCAACAATTTATATTCTTTTCAGCTTTATTTGTGTTTTTCCTATTTTTTTTTTTAATATTTTTAGGTTTTATCTTTTGTGTATTTCAAAATTTAATATTAGGGAATGAATTTGACCCCCAAATTTAACACACATATAATTTCTTTATTACTTAAATATCATGTAGATAGGTCTTATATGATAATTAGCGTTTTCGGAAGTAAATTAGAGAATTGAAGTAACCGAGAGGTTTTACTCGTTAAAATTTATAGTCTACTTGTTTGGTAAGTAATGATGGAATAAATTTTTGAATTCAAAATGCTAATTTCGAATAACTTTAAAATATGAGTTTATTGGAAAATATGATTGTAAAATTTGTTGTTTTTACATATAAAATGGGCAATTAGTTATCAAACGTTGTGTATAATCATCTAATCTAATATGTTAATTCAATAAGCTATCTATCAACTAATTCAATTTCTATCGACCAAATAGAACGATAATATTTTTTATTTTTAAATTTACATACCTATATTTGATTGTGCTAATTTGATAATGTGAAGATTCCTGGCCAAAAATAAAAATAAAAATCAGGAGGATCATATCATAAATTCATAACTTTTTTTATTTCCATTTCTCTCAATATATATAACTTTTTATAAAAATACATATATTTTTTTGTTGGGCCAACTATAATAATGGGTTTTATCTAGATGAACACGTACACGTGCAAGTGCTGAGTGTCTAACCCACTCCGTGTTGCTTTTATCATATCATTTTTTGTCTATTATACAGACAATTTCATTCATCTACTTGAGTAAGAAGTTGAAAAAAACAAAATATTTATAAAATAAAGTGCTCAAAAAACAAAAATAATAATAATGGGGGGGACTACATTTTGCTCCATTTTTTCCTACTTGGTTTGGCTTTGAAGTCACCGAAACTTAGAATAGTGAATGCATACGGTATAAATACAAATAATTAGCATGATAAATCTTATAATGGAGAAAAAAAGAGTGAAATTTTTGAAAGTGGCCGGTTCCGTAAATTTGAGGCTATTAAAAAAAAAAGAACAATTTTCTTTTCTTTGGCCTTTTTTATTTACTTTTTAATTATTATTATTATTATTTAAAAAAAAAAAGAACAATTATCTATGAAAAAATACCAGTCTTCTTATTACGATTTTTCAAAACATTAAATAAATGCATTTGAAATATAGAAGATACATCATTAGAGAACTTATAAATTTGAAAATAAATTAAATCTTTTGAAATATAATGGCCAAAACTCCATGCGCAAAACATGTCACCATCTTAATTATATTGTACACGAAATATTATTGCCAATTTCTAAGAAATAAAATTATTCTTCAGCATGCCATGGCGTGAAATTAAAAATATATTTAAATGTATTCAAACTATCTTATAGTAAATTAATTATTGTTTGATCATGCTCTTGACTTACATTAGATTTTGAAATCTAGTATTTTTCAGCTAAAGAATGTCAAAGCATGCATGTGAGAAAGAAGAAATGTTCTACAGACATATAATGATACGCAAGGACATATCTCCGTATCTATCCATTCTCACCTTTCAAAATGCAGATATTATATTTTGACCACAAAATCAATTGATACAGTTGTTAGATTAGATGATTATAGAGAAGTATTTAATAAATAATTAATTATTTGATATATAAAAATAACTACGAATTGTAATTTTTTATTCCAAAATTCTCTTGGATTATTTTGCATGTCAGAGTATTGACGTTGAATTAGGGGGTTGAACATAGTCATCTTTGACTCGAAATAGAACAACATTTTGGATATAGATGATTTATAAAATAGAACGTATATTTGTAAAATGGCTATACAAAATTTTAATCCAAACCGCTAGCGAAATTTTTTATTACAATGTGTTATAAGCTATTAGCTATCCACTAATATAATTTATTATCCACTAATAGCCAAACAAAAATCATCTATTTAATTTATCAAGATTAACATTTTGAATCAAAATATTATTTCAAATTGGTACTTTTTTTTTTCATTAAACGATAACATTATATTAAACTCTAAAACGAAACTAATTACAAAGCCTGATGTCAACTGATATCAATACAATAACTTGGGCCATAAACCTATGTCCCAAGAGGCACATAACAACCAACATAGGTAGCTCGTACAAAATGACAAATGCAACTACTACAAGCTACAAAAATAATACGAGACGGAACTAACTTCGCACCTGACGAAGACAGATCAATCTTCTATTATCTGCGCCAGGCGGAATTACACAGAAGATTGATCCTAACAAACAAGACACACAGAAAGATAACTAAAACAAGGGTCAAACCAAGGGCCACACCAACAACACAAAATATATAATACTTAAAAAATAAATCCCTCTTCGGCTACCAATAAACACGACGCGCTACATCAAGAATCACTGACCTCCCAGGACGACCAACGAAGAGAAAACAGATCACCCAAGCAAGAATCTCGGATCTTAGAATTCCAATTCTACTAGCGGCTATTAACTACTCAAGTCTAAGGAGAACAAGTCGGATCCACTCTTCAAACTCAGCGGCTAAAAAGCTGACAACGGCCAGATGAGAAGGCCACCACCACCACCACCACCTACTCAACTACAGCACCCGACCTCCGACCAACGGGAGACAAAAGGAGCCCAAGGTGGGTCCCATCTCCACTGAAGAGTTGGTTGAGATTTCACCAACATGAAGTAGGCGGCGATGCCCGCACCTACACCACAACTCCCTGTCTGAAGCAACAACAGACTAAGGTGGAGGCAACTCTATGAACGGGCGGCGGACTGAGGAGCGGAGGGGCGTAGATCTACAAATTTTGTTCTCTAAGAGGAGAATATTTTCGAGAGAGACAAGGGAGATCCCACACAAATTGCTTACTCAAAAATAGAATTGTTAAATTAAACGAATCGTTCGTGAGCTAGGTTCTGCTCGATCGGTTCGTTTAGCTCGAGCTCATTTAAAACTCGTTCATTTAACGAGCCAAGCTTGACTAGGCTGAAAATATGATTGTATGTATTTTTCTATGGTTCGGTTAGATTTTTGCTTGTTAATGTTGATAAATGAGCCGAGCTCGAGCTCAATAATAAGATCGTTAAGTTAACGAGTTGAGCCAAACTCGGCTCGATTCATTTACATTCTTGCAACAATAAAATTACAGATCTTATATTGAATGTTTCAAAAATTTACATAGCCTTTTGAATAAAAAAAATTGTTTCAGATCGCTACCTACAACTACAAGCACTAAAATTAGAGATTCCTACGGATCAAACCTCTATAATTCACCTCCAAATCTCTGATTGGCTTTCCTAATTAACCAATAGGACCATAATCTCAACAAATAAAACAAAAATTAAATTAAAAAAAAAAAAGCCAATAAATTTGTGGGGGACAACAATAATTAGGATTAGTAGAACAACACTTGACTTATCACAAAAACATGCTCCAAAAAATACCATCACAAAAAGTGGCCACTATAAATTGGACCAAACTTTTCTTTATTGCCACATCCACGCAAAAATTCAACTCAATTCTCCAAAAAACACTGAAAAAAAAAAAGAGAGAAATCTTGACACACAACATTGATATCCTCATAAAAATCATATATCTGGAAAAAAAAAAAAGAAAAAAATTACTCAGTTGTGTCAGACACGTATGCAATTTTATTATATTTTTCAAAGTAGAAGACAAAATAAAAAATAAAAACATAGGCAATTGTTGAAACATAAGAAGAGTGCATGGGAATCTTCATAGTTGATGTCACTTATATATACATATATTTCCACCATTTTTAGGCTCGTGGGTTTTAAGGTTTTGAGCTGCTCTATTTTTCCGATGAAGTCAACTCTGAAGTACTTAACCGGGCTTGCGGGCCCCAGCGGCTACGGCTC